ACCGCCCGCTGCCACGTCGCCTTTTCCCCTCTGGCAGACGGGGCTGGAGCGGGACAAGGAGGTTTTCCAGCAGCTTCGGGGGTTTTTTGTAGCCTGCAGCTTGCTCCCTTTTGTGTGTTTCCCGTTACGATCCGCTCACTCCATCAGCCCCGGCTCACGTGGGTCTCTGGTGACAAGGGGACGAGCCCGTGGGCGGTGATGGACGCGTGCTGGGGACAAAGAAAGTGGCGGCTTCAGCAGCTCGGGGGAAATCCCAGTGACACCAGTCACACCACACCGAGGGGGAGAGTGGGGACTGGCGCTGCTTAGGGCTGAGCGGGGTGCTGTGACCATCCCAGGCTGGATGCCTGCTCCATCCTTCCTTCCCTGCCGCTCCCCAAGCCCCAAACCCCACTCCCAGCACACCGGCAGCGTCGCAGCGGCTGCAGCGTTCCGATTCCTCGTCGTGCTGCAATGACATTTGTCGCTCTGCTTTTATCACCTCCCGGTCTGAACCCTCCCCCTTTCTCATCTGTCTCTGGACAGACAGATTTTCACAGCAAGCCCCATCTCGGCTCCCCACGAGCTCCCAGAAGGTGCAGATGTGCCCTCCTGCCTCCCTCCTCTATTTCAAGCAGGAGGAAAACCCCTTCTTGGTTTGTGGTTTTTTTTTTTAGTGTTTTCTCTCCTTCCCTTTTTATATTACATCGATAACTTCAGTGCCATTTGTGCCCCTCGGACTCCCTGTGCACCCCTGATGAGCTTCTGCCTGGCTTGACCCCCTCTGTCCCTATGGGAAACACCAAAAATCGGTTTTTTTCTGTTAATTTTGCAGTTACTACAACACCAAGTCCGTCCTCCTGTGCCTGGGCATCACAGCCCTGGTGTGTCTCTCCGTCACCATCTTCAGCTTCCAGACCAAGGTGGGTGGTGCTGACCCATCCCATGGGACCAGCATCACCGGGGCCGGACCCAGGGTCAGCCGGTGCCGGGGGGCTGCAGGGCTCCAGGGACGGGGGCAGCCGGAGGGCTGCTACCGGGGCCGGACCCAGGGTCAGCCAGTGCCGGGGGGCTGCAGGGCTCCAGGGATGGGGGCAGCCGGAGGGCTGCCGGGTGTGGGGTGACGGTCACAGGAGGACCAGGATGGTAGCTGGGGTACGTGTTGGGGTGCAGATGGGGCTGGAGATGCTGATGTTGGGGTCAAGCTGGGTTTTGGAGGGCCAGGGTGTGGGGTGACGGTCATGGGAGGACCAGGATGGTCAGAGGGACGTGTTGGGGTACAGATGGGGTGAGGAGGTGCTGATGTATGGGGCAAGCTGGGTTTTTGGAGGGTCAGGCTGTGGGGTACCAGGCAGCGCTGGCACACGCGTGGGACAGGAGTTTGGGCACGCGATGAGGACGGAGCACTCACCCATAGCACTGACAGGGGTACGGGGGGTTTGGGGTCTGTGGGACACACAGACGGGTGCTGGGCTGCAGGACCCGAGGGACAGGCGAAGCGATGGTACACGTGTGATGGGATTTGGGATTTCAGCCGCACGATGGGGACGGAGCGCTTGCCCTTGGCACTGATGGGGGTACCGTGGGTTTGGGGTCTGTGGGACACACAGGCGGGTGCTGGGCTGTAGGACCCAAGAGGCTGGAGGGCTTGCTGCTGGGGAGTCCCTTGCTGTGGGCACGGGCGTCTTTGTGTCCCCTCCCTGTCCGCTCGCCCAGCGCCCTGCCCTTGTGACGTGACGTTCTCTCCCTCCGCAGTTTGACTTCACCTCCTACCAGGGCGTCCTCTTCGTGATGCTCATGGTGCTCTTCTTCGGGGGCATCATCCTGGCTGTCATCCTGCCCTACCAATATGTGAGTACAGACCTGGCCCCTGCCCCCCCGGGGACCCCCAGCCTGGGGAAGGCTGAGAGCTGATCCCAGAGCGGGCGAGCTGCGGGACTTGGCTGGGGTGGGGGGGTCCCAGCTGCTCCCCGAAAATGTGCAGGAACCCCAGGAGAAAAACGGGCGAGAGCAGGCGGCTGCTTGGTGTACGGTTGGATGTCGGGTGGTGGGACTGGCCCGGGACTGGGGAATTTTGTCCTGTTCCTGGAGCTGTGTGGTGACCCCACAGCAGGTCACATCGCCTGCTCGTGCCTCAGTTTCCCCTCCAGTAAAACCCAGGGTAGGGAGCGCATTAAGGACTGACCTGCCCCACGGAAAACAGAGTTATTGCCCCAAATTCTGGGCAGGGCTTGGACCCCATGGGGAGCCCCATGTCTGGCCAGAGATGACCCACACCAACACCAGGCACCGTCCTGCAGAGTTAAATCGTGACGCTCAAAGTTCTCACCAATCAGCACCCCTGGAGGGCATTCAGACCCTGGGGATGAGTCCCGATGGCGAGTGACCACCTTGTCACCCCCCAGCTGCTGCCAGCCTTTTCAGCCGCCCCGGTCACTGCCGGTGTTGGGCAAAACCTCAGAGCGGCTCATGGCCACAGCGATGGAGGGTTTGGTGTGGCCACACGCAGAGCCTGGTCCCCACCCCAGGGTGTTCATCGGGGGAGTCGGGAAAGTGACATCAGTTGAGAGGCTGATGGAAGAGGGAAGGTGTGTGGGACCGTGCGGCCATCACTAGTCACCCCAAATGCCTGCGTGCACCTGGGACGGTCACGGCAGCCTGTACGTGACCTCCAAACCCTTCACGTCCCGCTGGCTGCTCCGGTGACATGAGTTGTGCCTGAAGGGCCAGACCTGCAGGAGATGTTCCCATGGGCACCAGAGCTGGTCTGATGATGGAAAAACACCGGCCGCCGTTTGCAAACCCAGTGCTGAGGTTGCCTTGGCTGGAGATCCGCCGCTCGCTCGTGCGGACGTGAGGGTGAAGCAGCACGGTGCGTGGCATCAAACCGCGAGAGACAAGTGCTCCTTATCTCAGAGCTTGTCAAGATAAGGGCAGGTGGAGATAAACTCCAGGGCTGGAGATAGACGAGCTCATTCCCAGCCATCTGGGGAGGCAGGTGGGGGTCTCTGGGCTGGGTCAGCCGTCCGTGCTGGGTCAGCCATCTGTACCAGCTCCTTCTCCTGGAATTCTGGAACACCAGCAGCCTCTCCATTAGCACCATGTCAAGGGAGGGGATTGTCCCCCTCTGCTCCGCTCTGGGGACCCCCCCCTGGGGTGCTGCCCCCAGCTCTGGGGTCCTCAGCACAGGACAGACACGGAGCTGCTGGAGCGGGGCCAGAGGAGCCACAGAGATGGTCCGAGGCTGGAGCAGCTCCCGTGCGAGGACAGGCTGAGAGAGTTGGGGGTG